ATAAAGAAAAGTAACGAAAGTAAGACAACAGAAGCAGGGATGTCGTGTAGCTCCGTTTAAGAGCGACGGATTCGTAATCAACAAATCGCGAGTTCCTGCATCCTCTATATAGGTACGGAAAATTTGATAATCCGTTTCTGACTTAGCGGAAGTCGCAGAGGAACTCTTTAGATTTAGGTGACTCTTTGACTTAAGTTCAGACATATAAGGACCGATTTTAGTCTTACTCATTATTATTACAATACTATTACTAAAAAACAGAGATAATAGATTTTAACGTATTGAAAATACTATATATATATCACGGTAGGTGACGGATAAAACTTTTCTTCAATAGCTTAAAGTCTATTCTTCCTGTTCTTTGTTACCCGCACTTTTCATTCTAGGTTCTTAGAAGGCTTCCCTAAAATAATAAACGTTTCATCTACCTCCGTTCTTAGACAATAAGGGAGCAAAATTCCCTTGAGAGTTAATTAACATTTTATTTCATCTTTAATCTCCACTTGCGTCAAAATCAATCCATTTCTGAGAGCAATTTTCACGTAAACGTTCAATAGTATCAATGTACGTATTTAGTAAATAATAAATTGAACTTCCAGTCAAATTTAATTCACTTTTTCAGTTAAATTGTTTAACTTCAAATTAATGTTTCAATTAAATTAACGACGTATTCAATGGCGATTTATAGAAATGATTAAAAAAGTAATTAGCTGAGTGTAATTCGACATTATGAATTTGTATGTACAATCCCAAAAATGTCAATGTTTTTGTAAATTTGTTTTATAAATTTGTGTGTATGTGTGTGTGTGTGTGTGAGAGAGAGAGAGAGAGAGAGAAGACGTTTATCCCAGCTGAAAAGTTGGCGAGGAGGCGGCGAGTGACGCCAGGGAAAACCTGCGAGGAGAGAACCGGTCACGTGCGTCTGTGCAACGTGCCGCCGGCTGTTCTTGGGTTCACGGCCCGGCTCTATCTACCTTGCCACCGCAACGAGAAGTTGTGACATAATAGACTGTCGCGCCAATCACCTACGCCGCACGCCGCGTTCGTATCTACTGCGAAACCGACAAGCGCGCGTTTTCCTTTACGGGCTGATGTATCTATCGATATGAATAAAATATCAGCCGGAATTAATATTTATCGATGTAAAGCGGCGGCCATTGCTAGCCGCGCGAGAAAGTATATAAGCTGACGAAAGTATTGCGAATTATAATCGATACCGCCGGTAGGAAAAAGAACATTTTTACGTTTACGTGAAAATTTTTTCTCACTGATTTCTTATACCTTTTTAAAAGCGATTTACGCGATTTAAAGAGTGGAACATTCAAGTCGTTACTCGGATATCTTGTTGCAAATTGATGCTTAACATTTATTAAAATCACACAGTTTCAATAACTGAACAATTAACATAGAAATAATGTTAAAATGTCAACTCGAATATGTAAATTAGTGAAATGTGACAATTTAACGTGTCATAAATTCATATTAACTTTACTGAAGAAATATGCTTTCGCAATTTGCTTACACAAATTGTCAGCGTCATATTTTTATGTTAACGTCTCAAATAACATGTATTATTTCCTAACATCATTCATCTTATGTTAGATTAACAAAAATTTTCCAACTCTATACATATATATTAAGAATTCAAACAATATTCATTGAATATAAAGAATAGAAATATCTTATTGTATAAAAAGGTATCATATAAATGTAAAACAGATTCTCGACTTTTTTTCCTCTTTCCTTGAAATTAACTTAAATTACATTCCCGTCAGAATACATTTTTTCGAGAGGGTTCATGCGCGTCTTTTGTGTTAATCGCCTCGATCTTCGGAGGAAAAATTCAGAATAACGTAAGCGAACAGAAATTACGTTAGATAAAATAGCGAGGAATCGTTAGAATTACACTTACGCATGCATTTGCCGAATCCAAGACGTGGCAGTTTACATCAGCGTTTTTCCACTTTTTTTTTTTGTCTTTTCCCTTCCACGCTTGATGACGCAAGCGCATCGCTCCGAAGGCTCTCCGCGGGGAATATAAATGTTCCCGCGTTTTATGGGGCGGATGAA